GAGAGAGAGAGAGAGAGAGAGAGAGAGAGAGAGAGAAAGAGAGAGAGAGTGACGCTGTCGCAGGCATGTATGTGCACACACGCGTATATCGCGTGGCCGGGCGCATTTTTGCGTTCGTGTTCAGCGAGGGTGGCGAAGGGTAGTCGCGCGGCGTTATGGTGAGAAAGGTGGGAGGCAACGTGAATGCGCCATACCGCTTCTGCATGGGGGATTCAGCAGGCGAGGTTTCCACATGAGCGGCCAGCATTGATAGAAGCTACGGGGAGAAACTGACTGTGCGCCTCTCTCATCCCTCTCACCAAACTCGAACTAACTTCGGAGTAGCGGCGGTGGCGGCTCCCACCCACAGCCGCGCTCTATCCCTCCGCTTTTAAGCCTGGCTTTCATTATTTTCCTATAATTCGCAACAGCCCCTCGCGAGCACCACGGCGTGGAGAGGCTACCTACGATTCCCGCCTTCGTTCCCTACCCTTTTCGCGCCCTGCGGCATTCTGCCAGGATGGCGCGTTTCACGAAGCTGCGGGTCTTCGACTAGAGACCAAATTGATCAGAACTCGTGAAGAAAAGTGGCGCAAAATAGATGCACGTGTCTCCTTCGATCGCCCTTTGGGGTTAAACTCATTTTACAACAGCCGTAAAAATATGCAGTAAGACGTAAGCAATAAGCTTAATTGATAAACGGTATTCTTATAGCTCAAGAATAATTGACTTTGATTGGTCATTTGCTTATTATTTACTTTTTACTGCATACATTCTTACATTCTACTATTGTAGAATCGGTTTATATATTTTGCAGTTTCGTGAAACGCGTACCCTTGGTCGTAACATGTGACACGTACCTGGAGCGAAGAGATATGCGATGCATCCGCACAGGAATGCTAGTGGCAAGTTGCAGAGCAATAGAAACAATGGCTTCTTGAGTCCCAGAACACGTACGCAAGGCGAAACGCACATGGTAAAAATGGCCAGTAACAAACCTATGAGAATGCTAACTGCAAAAGATAAGAGTCGTGAAAGAGAAGCACGCGCTGATGCATACATAATGTGTACATTTTATATTATAATAGACTTTTTTCCGATAGAAGGTTGCATGTAATTACTTGTAGTTCCCGAAACGCCGACAGCCACCGCAAAAGTATAACCGACGAAACCACCAAACGCACAATCCGATAATAAACGATCCGCACAAGCGTGTTTAGGTTTATGTCCTATGACAACTGAGAGGAAACCTATGAACAGAACGATTGCGCAAAGCACCATCGAGAACGTTCCATCTGAAATAACGATCAAGTGTCGAGTGATCATGTAAACCTTTCTCGAGAGACGTTCTCTTTTAAGGTGACTCAGTGAAACATCATTCAAAGCAGTGAATATATACTGATTGATATTGTGGTATACTTATAATTGATATCGGTGACTATTTACTGATTCACTTTAAGAGAGTTTACGACCAACAGTTTCTCAGCGTTATGATGCTTAAGATTATATAAAATGGAGAAAGATTACAAAAAATAAATCACATTTTATGATATTAGAATATTTCATAAATTTCTTAGGAAAAAGAGAGTACAATTTCATCGTTGCGCGCGAGATATATTTCGCTTGAAAGGGTGTGACTTTTTAAATACGACTCGCTATATCCGACACATCATCACGCCGGCGTAAACTTGGTCTTAAAAAAGAGAAACAGACACGAGAACGTACTTAAAACCTGACAACTCTTCGGATACAGCACAGGGCTGCAGCCGTACGAGAAGGTCGGAACGTAAGCCGACGAGTAATTCCCGTAAGTGGCGACTACAGCATAAACGAATCCTGTACCGGCGTACATACTGTATATACGTCTCATAGCCGAGATTGATGGGGCAGGCGATATCTATCAAGAAATATCTTCAATCATACCTCATTCTTTTTTTATTATACAAAATAAATATCTTAAGGCTCTCTATAGGTAACATCTAAATTTTGACAGGAATGAAAGCTATTAAAAGTCGATGCTGGATGTTTTTTTGCAAATATCTATGATGGGATAATAATGTTTGTAGTGTCAAACGCATGCGTTGACATGATTTTCCGGTCTTTACAACGTACGCGTATTTTTCACAACTCAATAATGAAATCAATGCATGAAAGAGTATTAAAATAAGGGGGGTTTTTAATCATTATAATAATTATAGAAAAATATTAAGGGATTTAGGGTCGGTTTGTTAGTGGAAGATTGATTCATCGCGTACGTTGTAAAGATCGGAAAGTCATTTCTGCGTGTGCATTTGATACTACAATACATTATTATTTTCCCCATCATAGACATTTGCAAAAAACATCCAGCATAAGGCTCTTAATGACCTTATGCTGTCAAAATTTTTCCTGTCAAAATTTTTTTATTATAATCGTAATTGCCTAGTAAACTCCCTTCCTCACCTTTTTATCACATATTTTTATGAAATTGTATCTATCACAAATAGAAATTATGTACTTTCTATTTATGATAGTTTTCTATTTGTTAAGTACTGTTAACTTTATGAAAGCATTTCCATTAGTTTATTACTTTATAGTATAGTTACTACCGATTACGAGATATGTACACAAAGACTAAGTAGAAACTGACTAAGTGGGAACGATGGAAATTGATACGATAATGTATTGAGGATCTTTACTTTTTCAAGTATAAACAGTGTATCCTTCACTGAAATACTATACTTATATCTAGTGATTCAATGGTAACTCTAGCACTGCAATCAAATCTCGCTGTTATCATTATTGATGTGATCAAACACAAACAGTGTTATCGCATGCAAGGCGCACGGAAGCCGAAAATGAAACAACATGCCCGAAAAAAAGTCTTGTGATAATTAACAAATAGTTAATATTTGGTTGAGCATATCAGTACGATATTTGATAATTAATATCAAATGTAGCAATAGTTACTAGTTATCTGGTAATAATATGGTAATAATTACAAAATGATTAGTAAAACAAATTCTTCATCTAGTTGAAACAATTGTTTAGTTAATAATACTATATAATTTGGTAATAATTAATAATAATTATTAAATAGGGCGACTATTGCCAAAGTATTTGGTCACATTGTATATTTATCATATAATGTGGAAAGTATTATTAAACAATATGGTTTTATTCAACAAATTGTTTGATGATATATATTACATAAATTGATAATAGCCATCAAGTCTTAACAATAAATACCAAGCCTTGGCAACAGGTATTACAAGATAAGATTATTTGTTTAGAACAGGCCTTTAAACAATGTAAAAACAGTGTAAAATAGTGTAAAAATACTTAAAATTAAGTTAAACAGTACTTAAATAATGGAAAACTTGCTGAGGATATTTGTTAATATTTATCAAATTATTTGATTATATTTACTTGTTTAGTTGAAACTATTTCACAAAAGCATCTGATAACTATTAACCAGACTTGATGGTTATTACTGAATCTTTTTTTTATATGTATAACAAATTTGTGTACTACAAATTTTGCAGTGAGATCTTACTTCCAAAATCACTGGTCAAAATCACTAAGATATAAGCAGTAAAGTGAGAGTGTTTCTCATGAAAATCAATGAATACTCACTGATTGCCAGTGAAATGCTTCTTTTACTGATTCAATCAGAAACACTTTCACTGATACTCGAAGAGAGTATCTGTATCATATCAGAACTGAAATTTTGTCCCCCCCTTCCTCTGGGTTATATAATACAAACGAATAAAATACCTCAGTGCCATTTCGCGCGACATCTCGCACCGTCAGCATACTCGCAATCGCATCAAAGTACGTCTCCGGATTAAAGTCTTGCATGCTCAGATGAAGGCGGTACATACGGTGCTGCACCGGATTCTTGTTGCAGGAAATCGTTGAGCCGTTAGCGGCGAGCGCCGCAGCCGGTTGCGCATCGACTATTATCATTTCATTCTCAACACGCAGCTTTTGATAGGGCGCAATTTCGATCTCGAATTCCATGTTACATCCGCCCGGTATCGGCGCTGCGGAAACAACAATTGGGCCAATGCGCGACGTTGGATTCTCCCTCTCTTTCTCTGGATACTCTACTAATTTTGCCATTACGCTCGACGTGGAAAACAGTCGGCCATTCATTCCATTTACGCGCGACAGATAATGGAGATCCGTCACAAATTAATCGAACGCACGTCTTGGTGCGATTCGCGATTTATTAGCGCGCGACCAACGCGCAACACGGCTATTTAATTTAACATAACGCGCGATTTTTCGCCCTTTGTCGTCAACAAATCATATTGTATTGCGATTCTCTTTATATGGTCATTAATTTTACATTATTTTAATTAGGGTGAACGTTGTACCGAAATAATTTAGTTCGATCGAATACGTCGACCGAAGAGGAAAAAAGGTGCGACACATAAATTATCATTATTTGTACTTACCGTTTAGACCATACGGTACAATCACGAGCAATGCATCGAGTTTGTGCACATTATAGTGCTTCAGGAATACCTGCATTGGCCCTGTTACATTGCGCGTTTTCAAGTACAGACCAATATTTGATCCGAACAAACTCCCTTCCGACACTTTGTCAAGCAGTGTTTCGTCGTATGCTAACGTGGCATTGTATTGATAGGTATGAACTTGCAACACGATAAACGAAAAAGCTGAAGCATCTGTTACAATAATCGTCAGACCGCTGGATGGTGGTAAATTTAGTCGTTTCTTGAATACGTCATTCTCTCGATAATTCAATAAGGACGTTGTTATTGTGCTATCTGTAATATAATATATCTAATGTTCATATTAGTGAAGAATATTTGTTGCCATCTAAAACTCAAATTGAATATTTCCGTATTATCTTGCAGAGAAGCAAACATCAGCGTGCAGAGTCAATCAAATATTTGTATCTACTCTAGTAATAATTTATTACACATATATATAAAATATGCAGCTCCCAGTGTCCCAGCTCAATTTCATAATCTCTTATGAGAACATAGAGCGGACTGACATGAACAAAAAAATCCAATATTGTTTTGCGAAAATCATAATAATAATAAAAATATTAATTATAGAAAATTTGTGAATGATCACGCATGACTTGGTAGATGAGCTGTAGTGACGACGTCTGCTTGTATATTAGTTCAAACTAAGCAAAAATGTCTTTTATCATTTTGCAAATAACTATGTAGATTTTAATTATTAATTAAAAAAATTGTCGCACAATTTTATGCAATAACGTACTAATCTTCTTTAATTAATAACAAAATCTACGTCATTTGCAAAATAGTAGAGGACACTTTGTTCAGTTTGACCTAATGTACAAGTACACGATGGCAGACGTCCTCACTACAGCTCACCTACCATACACACATTTCGAGAGTCATTATTTACAAATCTTCTTTAATTAATATATAATTATTGCGACTGCAAAATGGTATAGGACTTTTGTGTTCCCTCAATCCGTCCTACGCTTCATTAGAGATTGTGAAATTGAGCCGGAACATCCTTATGCATGTGTGTGGGAGTGTGTATATATATGGATATGTGTGTGTGTGTGTGTGTGTGTGTGTGTGTGTATATATATATAATTAGGATATAAAATAAGTGAATTTCCAAACACCTTTTTTTCATGTTTTAAAAAGCGACAGATAATAGGAAGAAGGAGAAGCATAAGAGAAAAGAGAACAGCTGCATTCTGTCGAGCAGCTATACTGCATGTAGTAGAGTGATTTATTTTTAGATCTAAAAAAAAATCAGGTCTCTCTCCTTTCGAAAAGCTGATCGACCAATTGGTACGTTCATTGAACGCGACTAACTGACACACACCGTGCGGGAGGTGTACGCGAAGAGATTGTTTATACAAGCCGTTCGCGCAGAGGCTCGTTGGATATTGAGGTTATGTACGCTTACCGGGTTTGATGGTCGCATCTTCTAACGCCGTGGTCGCGTTACCTAGGAGTAACGGCAGGACCAATAGAAGCGTGACGGCGGCTCGCGTCATGCCGGCGCGTATACACGTCGCGTGTCCAGTGAGAAAAAAAAGGAACGAAGGGAGGAAGACGTATTTAACTCGCCCGTCGCCTAAGCGTGCAGCCGATGGCAGATCAGCACTGATCAGCGCGGGGAGCAACAGCTGTCACTTGACACTCGACTACGCGCTCGTGTACGATCGCGCTCTCGTATGTGCAGCGGTACGCGATACGCGCCGTCTCACTCTCTCCATTCATACGTTGGGTTACGTGGTCGTATCGCCGTTTCGCTCGCGCCTGCATTCACACGGCGAGACGCGGAGCAGCTTGGCGAGGCGGCCGCTTGACGGCGCATCAGTCGGCCCAAGATGGCCACGCTGGATCAATGAAACGCGAGTAATCGTAGTGAAAACACAAATTGACAAGTGTGCGGGCGAACATCGCGGCCTGATCGCGGTGTAAATGGACCATGGGCAAGGATCAGGAGCTGCTCGAGGCAGCGAGGAGCGGCAACGTTACTGTGGTCGAGAAGATCCTTGGTCAGCGAGCCAAAAGGAGTGGTCCACTGGCAAGGTGGGTGTCACCGTGGCGAGCTTGACACTTTTGCTCGCCGCTGCCTTTCCTCCCCGTATCGGGGTCGTTTCCTCATTCCCAGCTCCGTTCATCGTAGCCGGCGTTTTCGGCGTGCCTGTTACGAGGCACTGCCGACGTCTCGTGCTGGCCGAAGCCCTCGGCTACGGCCAAGCCATCTCTCGCGCATTCGATTATCGAACCGCCGAGCACGTCGTTCGTCACCGTGCTCCGCTTCGACGTGCTCCGATTCGCGTCTCGCCGATAAGGTTCGCCGCGAGGATGCCCCTCGGCCCACGTACAGTCTCTGTGCGGTTTCGTCATTTTCTCCGCGCGGCGAGCGTTGCGAAACTCACGCTCGGATCGAGGTTAAACGGACTCTCCGCCGTGAATGAGCACCGCGTCGTTTTGTCCTCTTCTGCCCTGTGTTCGTCACGACGCTTCTTACGATAATCCGGTCATGCTCGATCGAACGTGTGCCGTGCCGTCGTCCGATTAATCCGCGCCTGCCGTGCGACTGACCGCTCTCTCTCACCGGGATTTCCGCCGTTAATTCTACCGTTAATTACACGAATCATTGCGCGCGTTTCCACCTTTAAATCGGGCGAGCGCGGCCGCTCGCGTTATTGAGATTCCTGCTCCGATTTCGTGCATCGACGGAACGACGTTTTGTATCTCGTCGCGTTTATTACACGTGTGTCTAATACATGTGAGTAATTTAATATAACGTCCGCATAGTGCGCAAAGTGTACCGGTTGTAATTCGAACGGGATCTCTTCGTTTAATCGACCGAATTCGATTTTAATTACTATTATTATGTTAATTGAAGGCGAAACGAACGATACAGTGGCCGAGTTGCGCCCTGTTATTAGCAAGGCCACACAGTCGCACGCTGTTATATCGAGCCGGCTGCTGCGTTGTTAGTCTTGCGTATCAACTATTCGTGATTTCACCGTGACCATGAATCACATCGAGCCCATACACACACAGACGTACAGACGTACACAGACGCGGTGACATTGCATGTAGACTGCGCGTTGACAGCCGTGCAAGGTTGTGGTGTGCTGTCGATCATCTAAATAATACGTATGCAACGCGCATTTCCTCTTGTACAGCACTCACGTGGAACAACCAGCGTCGGTTAACGCAGATAGTGTTGCACACGCGATATCAAAGACTTGTGTCGTCTGTGCAGCGAGATACGACTAATAGTCGGGATAGCGAAAATTGAAAGTCCCTTGGAACACTCGCATGTAAATATCCTCACCTCAATCAGCGAAAGAAAAACGTTACTGTCCAACTCGACAGTCCCGCTCTGTTCGCTATTTACGGCGACAGATAGCAGAATTCTGTTTTGCGAGCGACTATTTATTTTTGGGGGTCAGCGATAACACGCTTAAACTAATAGATAGGCGTGTTAGATCGGCTTTGCGAAGGAACGGTGAGTCGCGATCGGCTTCCGCTTTACCTTTCCGCACGGCGGAGACACAATTAAATCCTTCGCGAATGAATTAACGCTAATTGCACGCGTTTCGCGAGCGCGTATATTACCGTGGGAATGCCCCGTAATTTCGCGTTTATTTGCGAGAACGCGTTGACGAATAATCGGATAGGCGCGAACAAGCGAGCGAGAGAGAGAGAGAGAGAGAGAGAGAGAGAGAGAGAGAGAGAGAGAGAGAGAGAGAGAGAGAG